GCGAGCCTAATCTTTTAAAATTTCAATTCAAATAATGCAATCAGGCGTTCTAAAAAGATCGATGCCTGCTCAAACTGATTGGAAATAAACAAGTGGTTAGATGATCATGTCTGGTATCATAGACTAGTGCGATGAAAAATGGATTTATTGTCTCTTTCGTAATTTAGGTTTGGTTAGATTACTCCTTCTCTGCTTTTTTTCTGTAAGTTCAATACTTTTGCTAACTTAATTAATCCTAACCTAGATAAACGGAATCTAAAAAAACACATCAAAAAGTTTGCAATCAAGTAATAACAGGATAGTACTCAAGAATATACCTGCGATACTACACCAATTGCACATCCCTTTGCCTCAGAATCACAAATTATAATCTGTCTGACATCCTTTCTGAATCCTAGACTTATTAGTACTACGATAGTTTCGACACTCTGTGACGACATTACCCATAGTGCAATCTAAGAGTACCTACTTTATCTGTAATACCGGTAGAAAATCACGTATGTTAAGGAATCGAATGGTTTATATTTTGACATCGAGAGCGTTAAAAATAGCTTTGTTCCTAACTCATCAGAAATCGTTGATTGAATCATTTTTGTATGTTAAATCGTGCATAAACTGATTCGCTTCGCAGCGCTCAGTAGAATGTTTACTGGTCATTAGATTTTGGGTATATTTTTAGTCGGATGACTTTTACCAGTTAAAAATTACAAACCAATATTTTACTCACAACATCAATGTATGATAGCATGCTTGTATAATAGGAAGTTATAGAGATGCAACTATATTTAACGGTATTTATTTAATTGTTATTTTCAGTGTGATTTGTGGGTTCAAAAATAATATTTCGGTTTTGGAATAGATTCCCTACGTTATATTTTCCATATAACGTTTTTTTCAGTGTACTATGTTTGGCTCATTAGGAGAAGTTTTTATGCAGATTTCCGTTACATTCTAATATTTCATATTATATTGGAGCTATTTATGAATCGAAGTCTTGCGAACCACAGGTGTTAGTGACTCACACTGAGAGGATGACGAAGAATATGAATCCTATCCTATTAAATTTTGGAACTTCAAGAATTTCATATTAGCAGTGAAAATAAAGTAACCTTACCCTATTTAACGTGACAAACAAGTAAGCTATTACTGTACATATATTCTCAATTGTAATTCATACTTTCTGTTGGGAACCCTTACATCGTAAAAAATTCACCAGTATATGGCCTAGCAAGGGCGTCAGTTTTGACATCCCCTAAAACGCCGTGAGTTCCAGCCAATGAAAGGTTGAAGTGTATTTGCATGCCCATAATTACAATTTACGCAGATGTTGCCTTACAATAGCCTACTGCTTGCTGTAAGAATTGTCACGTTATTCCTAGTGCTGGCTTTGATCTAAGCTGTAAATCTTGTATCTCTATCAGCCATAGCAAATAAGGTAAATGCAATCTCGTGTCGTCCATAACTCAGTTTATACTAGTGTATTTTGATAATCTTTCCAACAATGCAATATAAGTTATTGTACAATAACAATAAGCCACCCATTCTGCATTCTCTGCCAACCCGGATCCTACTACTGCCCCCGGATACCTACCTTTTTAGTCATCTACCACTGATACCTACCTTTTTTAAGTCTATGATACATGTGATACCTACCTTTTTAGTAGTGTCCTGCCAACCTCACTGACAAATTCCCTCTACTTTGACTCTCGCCGAAGTTTTTCCACAAGAAAGAAATAGCGCGGATCAGCACAGAACTGTAACATTATTCATTCGAGGTAATCATGCGGTTGAAAAGGTTATTTCCATAAGTTATGCATCCCATTGTTTACTCGTTGTAACATGCATTCACTAAAAATAGATCAACACAATCAAGCTTAAACTATGAATGTGAACATTCAATGAATTTTTTCAGATATAAATTACGTATGACAGTAGCATATTACACAGTAAAAATTTGAGACTAAACCACAAATAAAAAAATGAGTAGTGAATGTAACTTGCTTTAGCCAGTAATCATGATATCTTGCTAATTAGAATCGAATTGAACTTCTCGACTATGTGGGCTGCAGATAGCATACAAACGAATAACTCAAGCTTTTTCGCCTATTACTTGGATATGAGAAACAGCATCTCTTAAACTTTGATCTAATCAACATTCTTGAAATGCTGTAAACTGCAGGTCAATTTATTAATTCATTTTAACAGTAAAACTAGTTTAGTACAGAATTTCAAACGGATATGACTCACCGTGAAAGAAACCAAAGTATTAGGTTTCGTCCTTTCACACTTTCAAAATCATCTTACATACAACAGGAAAATATACATCCATGTATATACGACAAAGATTATATATATCGAAATTCTCGATACTACCGAAATCAGTATGTGCTGATGCTACATATAACATAAATACGTTTCTTGTAAGCAAAGTTGTTCGTAAACATTCATGAGATGCATTCTGCACTTGTTTCAAGAATTCATTTCATATGTCCTGAGAATATATATTTAGGCTTACAAAGCTTGGAAAAGATATTTCTACTTACTGGGGTTAACATTTTTGAAGTCGTTAGTAACTTGGACACAGAAAAAAAAATATTGGAAAAATCCCCAAAAAGTTCGCACACAAAACTTTTTCATGTATTATAGGCTGCAAATCCATAGTCATGTTTGGAGCGAGGCAGACAAAAAGTTCGAAGAAGAATAGAATTTTTGTATTTATTTATATGAAAGCAATAAACACAGACTGTCGACACAATTCATATTGATTACTTTGCCACGTTCAAACTTTTTATAACTTACAAGTCTTAATACAAATAACCCCTTTATTGTTTATATAAGTTTGTTCTTGCAACAGTAAACGGTGGTTGACAGGAAACGTGGAACAGCTCAAGTCAATGCGGTAAAGGACGCAGCTACATTTCACCAAAAAAGGTTCTTGGAACAAATTTTTTAGTACAATATAGGAATTTCAGCAAGCAGTAAGTTACATATATCGTGGATGAAAATTAACGGCTGATCTTTCTATTAAAAATATCTAAAACCATTTTGTGGAAATAGAGGTCAGACGAACGAAATTCATTACAATACCCACAAAATGAAATAAGTGAAACCATAACCGGAGTCCTATCCCAGTCGAGGCATTTGCTATTCAAAACAAGAAACCGCTCTATGGGTTCATTGTATTATATGCGCTATTAAATGCATCAATGTCAATTTCGCAACGTTGGTTGCATTTCTTCTTTTAGTTTCTTTTAATGGGAAATGAGGTACATTTTGGGTCCTTATTCGAGTATAAAATGGCATAGCGCACCTGTCTTAGCATAATATACAACCTTGGCAATTGGCATATAGTCGCATGGTATCGCTATAGAGCCGAATATTGAACGAACGGGATGCATACATGTAAGATCATTTTTTTTAAATCATTTATATAATATCTTCTTTGTTTACATTTGTCACTCCGCTTTTATTATTTTTTAAGCAGATGAATGTAGATTGCGTATGTATTTGCATTTTCTTGAGAATTAGTTCGTTTTGTTGGGTGTAAAATATGTTAAAAATCAAATCGTACCAAATAATTTTTTTTTTACCTAAGTTAATTAAAGTCCTAAGTGAATCAAGTCTTGCTGCATACTAACACAAATATATTTCTGAAACGTTTCGTCTGCCCAAGGTCAGACTTCTTCAGACATTCTTAGGTCAACTATTTTACTTTTATTTGTCACTGGTTTTCTTTGTGTACCTTACTCTTTTCACCAAAACTTCCATGCACGATAACCACTGTACATATAACCTCGGAGTTAAACGTGAACAGGCATACCAATCATATAAAAACACAAGAGAGCTATGCTCAAATATATGGACACGGAGGGCGAAACGAAATATTTTATCACCAACTCCCCGAGAATATCGAGTTTCGAATCATGGACTAAAAGTATCTCAAATGTGTACATACTGTGAAATGTCAAAAATACAGAAAAAATTTATTTGAAGAATTTTCAATAGGAGCAAAAATGGTAGCAATGGCAGGGCACAGTGATCCAAAAACTGACAGAAATTCTTATTATGTACGATAATGGAAGAGGTATTTAAAAAAAATATATTTGCCTTGGCAATTGTATCCACTGACAGCTAAATTGATTTTTGACGGACTGAAATTTTTCGTTTACCAAAAATGAATTAATCTGAATATGTCTGCTCGCAAAGAGTAATTCCCTTCTTATGATGTCTTTTAACATATTCTACTCTTGCCCTGTTAGTTATCATTATTCAATACCAAAGTTGGCGGTTGGAATTTCATACGTCGCATATGTCGCAGGTGTAAGCGTACGATAAACTAGTTTTATTAATTTTTGCTGTTAAGATTGCCATAAACTGTTATGCTTCCGAAAGGCGGTCAGTCTTATACTACGTTCTACCAAATTAATCTTCTGGCTAATTGGACGTGGAGTGGACCTATGGATTGTTGTAATATTGTTGTTGTTGTAAAAAATCGCTTCCCTCCAAGTCTTGCTTTGTAATTTACAGTGATTAAATATTACTATTGTCATTAGAAAGCTATTACTTTTAATTATTTCCTGTGGGCTCCATGGGTTTCCTTTTCCACTTTCGTTTTGCTTTTCGTGTTCATACATTTAAACATTGCTCTCTTGTTGTTAGCAATAATGGTGCTCGCCATTAAAGATCTTAGGAATAAATTCGGAATATCTACTCTGAATTTCACCTCACAAAATTAGAAATATTTAGGAGTGTTTTGTTTATTTGATTTCAAAATTCATTTCGCTGATAATTGGAAGCAAAATTCATTTTTAAATGATATAAAAGGAACTCAAATGAAACTAATCCAATTATTACATGACAAAACATAATCGGTGTTAAAGATTTTGAACTTACATTATACGGCACTCAATTAATGCTCAATTTTTTTTTAAGGTTCTCTGTCCGAATGCCTCCCTCGTGACTTGGAAATGGTGTAACATGGTGTGAGAAAAATATCGGAAAAAGTTACATAGTTTTTATGGCAGTGTTATGAAAAACATATCTATGTATATCTCTATGCAATATTGGATGAATGTCTCAGACCACACGATACAGATGCAAATTTCAAAGTTTAAAATTAAAGTACTGAAGTTCATCAATCAATTCATTAGGATTCCAATTTTTTGCAAACGTGATACAAAATGAGAAAAAAAGCATATACAACTATGTACATAAATGTATTGTGATGCAGTTTTATCTTTTTAAACAATGTTTAAGTGCAGAAAAATATTCGCAAGAGGTGGTCAAGAAGCTACATATGGTGTTTCACACTTTGTGTCGTTCAGAACGAGGATATTTTGATGCCTAAAGTGAAATGCTCGCCAGACCATTTTATATAGCTTTAGCAATGGATTTAAATGCATGCCAATACATTGTCAAATATTCTGGCGACATACAAACTGAAAACGATGCCGTGAATTCAACAAAACACCTGCAGGGTTGTGAAAAGCGCATGGCATTCTACCCGTGTGCCATCTTTATCGTTTCTGACATGAACGTGTGTGTACTCTTTGTACGCAGAACCTAATACAAAATTTTATGTTTAAACAGAGTTCATTTTAGGAGTGGCTCCATGTTCTGTGACGTCAGAATTTCGTTTAACTTTTAAAGCGTCATAATCTACTTCATCTTCACACTCCAACCCCATCAAGTGTGAGGGGGTGGATTTCCTTGATGAACGCTGAAATTCGTCACGATGCCATCCCATTCTCCTACAAACTGGAAATCCAAAAACGATTTTTCTCCAATTTCGAAAAGTGCAAAGTGCGCAGATGATATTTACGGTGAGGTTAATGTCATTAAGTGCAATAATAGATGACAAAAGTTCAATATATTTCTTGGTCAAAATCCAAACGAGACTTCCAGTTATTGCGTCAGTGACGATGATAGCCACGGTCAATATAAAACTTCTACGAATACCAGACCATAGTGCAGGATAAGCTGCAACGCCTGTGTTTGAATTCCCCTTCGTTGAACCAGGTTTTTCTTTCTTCTGATGAATAATTTGCATAAGGATTGGATAGACATATAAAGCTATCAAAGATAGTTGGTATAGACACGAAAGTCCCGCATAAAAATACATAGCTACTCTAGAATTGTACTCAAATACACTGCATTTTTCCCGATGGTACGTTATCTTGGCCGTTTCGCCATCTAACGGTATGAAGGTAAGAAATGCAACAACTGCCGACGTGAGTATGATAATAACGAGGACAACCCAATCAAAGATTTCAACTACTTTTGTGCGCAAATGTTTCAATTCGGGTTTGGTGTAGAACATACGCTGTCTGAGCCACAAATGCACATATGTCAGGCAGATTGCAACGTTGTACACACTTTTCCCAGCTACCATTAATGTTCTACACGCGGTTAAAAGCTCTCCTGGGCCTTTTGGTAGAAATACAACTATTTGATGTAGCACACATCTTGCAATTGCCATCAGCATCACTGCAGCACACGAATAGTGCAAATATCTCTCTCGTCGTTCTTGTCCACATCCACTCACGCGCGCCATGTTGCGGAATCTCCAACTATAATAAACGAGAGCGACAAAAACGTAAACTGTCAACAGAGTGATGAGTAGAAGAACCACTTCCCCAACAATCCATCTTGCTTGAGAATACTGTGAAGTTGAAATCGGTAAAGGAGTTGACGTAAACGATAATGGCAATACTGTCGTTGTTTCATTGTATATCATTGCGCTTCCATTATTGATTAATTCTGACAAACTCGTATCCAATGCCATCCCCGATGTCATTTTGCGTTATTGCTTGCAAAAAGTTTTTATATAGATTTCTAGATATCTGTAACAATACAATAATTCATGTAAATGATGAAGGCGTCGAATTCACCTTTACTATCTACTGATTAAATTGAACATTCATTTTTTTGATACACAACGCCAAAATGGTTTCAATATTTTATTTACGAGACAGAAAGAATATAAATGAAGGCAAAATCTGTTGAAATCAATGACTATACTCTCCAGAAAGCTGGAAAAAATGCAACAGAATGAAACTACATTGCTGAACACGGCAAAATAAATTAACCTTTTATCTTAAATAAGCTGTCCATACCACTGCAAAAAGGAACCGGAATACTGACTCGCTATAAATGGAGCATTGCGGAATGCTAGCCGATTATATTACCAGGACGTTGATATATTTATTATAAAAGCATTTTTTCTCGTGTGGCACTTTTATATCTAATATTTCATATTCAAACTTTTTTAATCACTCTTCTATATATATTGTAACTTTCCTTACATGGATAAAATTTACGATACCTCATATGCACAACCTTGTTTCATCTACCTTATACCGCACCCTTTTAAACCTGTTGAAATTCCCCGTTGAAAGCTAGACATGAATAGATAGATACTCACACCTCAGTTTATTCGTGGTAACGAAACTCCGCAGATTGTTGAATTGCACGTTACCTAATTTTAGATAATTTCGGATTTCCGCATTGTGTGTGCGTTCAGAACTCTTCGGATTATACACAGTAATTACACAAATTCAATGTGTCTGCCTCGTCTTTTATAATTACGAACTATTTAGTGATCGAAAACATACAATAAATTTTTAACAAACGATATAAGTTTCGAAAAAATAAAGTAAATAAATTATGTCAATTACTTATACGTTATTTATCAGCATTGAACGAGCCGTTTTTGACAAGTAATCTTCAAAATGTTGCCATTTTATGGCTGATGTGACACCTTAATGTGCAGCTATTTATTTTCTTCCTCAATAAGGTTTCGACATTTTATTTTTATGTTGCCAATTGAGCTCCCTAGACTATGATATATTTGAGAATCAGGCAATGACGGAATCTACACAAAAATACGTGTCGGAAACACTAGTGTAATCCTATTTTTGTGATAAATTTTACGAATTGAAGCGATAGATATTCGTGGGCAGTAATAATTCACCGTCATATCCATCACATTCTTAATTGTCAATTTCAGAACAAACACAGGTCAAATGTCATATTTCAATTACAAATGACTATAGCGACCGTTCCAATTTGCAAACTAATTATTATAAATTAAGAACTTTATTTGACATGACATATCATAGAAGTAATGCAAGTGCTGCAATAAACTACATCAATGTCTTTTTACCAAGTTTAAAAAATGGACACAGGTAAATATAGAACTTGAAATTACTTCAAAACTATAGAAAAAACGTGCTCAAAAATACGTTCCAAAAATCGGCAAAAGCGAATATTAGACAGAATAAAAAAATGTTATATCTTACATATTCGGTATTTTTTTAATTTATGGATTCTGAATCAATCTATACTACTTTTTGATAAAAGTTTTCGGCCACTTATCATCATGCGACGAAACTACAGTTGTGCATGTTGAATTCAATAAATAACTAAAGAAATAACACTTGCTTTTGGGAATCAATGTGGTCGAGCTGCGTAAAGTCTGTAATGTATTTTATGTTTTTAAATTATAATAAAAGTTTATATTTCTTAAACGTATGCATAACGGTATACCACCGTGCATCTGTGATCTCACAACACTTAAAATGCTACTGCGTACATTTATATATACATTTATGAAAATTGTCAAATTACCGCATCTTTCCTATATATATTCTGAGTTCTGCAAGTTTTCTTTTGATAATAACGTAACAGTAATTGGTTTAACACTGTGCTTCATACGACTATTAAACAATTAAGTCCAACAGCTACATTTCATTATTCAAGATAAATACACACAGATACGAAAATCGAAATAACTCAAATGCACCACATATCGGTCTATTTTTACACTGATTCGCAAAAACCGCAATTCAAATTTAAATGATTCAGTTACGATGCGAATGCAATTTTTAAGAGGGAAATTACCTGTAGGTATGTTTTTTTAATACCACTGGTGTTACTCAAAAGAAGTACTAAAATATGTGAACTAAGAAAATTTTATTATAGTAACCTATGAAACATAAATATATTAATAAGGATTACATCAATATAAAACACTATAACTTAACTATCGACCCATATTTTGTAGTTTCCCGCAGACTATCACAAGTAAATGGTCACTGATTACACTCCTACGACAAGTATATAAAGAGTCATGTGAAATAACCTTAAATTAAACCGGTACAGCCTTTTTGGATGAAATTAGAAACCTCGACAAGAGGTTTCTAAAAATATCTATCTGGCAACATTGGCGTCTACCATACAATTTTTTTGACAAGGAAAGCGTGAGAGCGTAATATTTGCGTCGTGCGTAAAAGTTCATATTTCCGCTTGAAATTTTGTGTCATTGGAAGACATATTTTTCATGTATGGTTTGAGAAAATACATAGATATTGCGCGGCAAATACGGTCAGGTTATAATTGCAGTCATTTTCTCAAAACAGCAGCCACGCTGTGTCGGCCAACTGACCGGACAGCTGGGCATCGGAAGCGCAGGGAGTTCTGATTACGTTGCGCCGACGTGATATTAAGCACAACAAAATGGAAGCGACCAGTTGACCTCAGCGACGTCACAAATCATCGGGGACATATCCGGTTACTCAAGGGAAAATTGATGGACTCCATTAAATTCTCACTTCTCCGAAACGATGCTTCAAATTGCCAGTGAAACTTAGTTATAATACAGATTCTTCATCACGTATTGTTCCCGTTTGGTAACCAGACTGTTGCGCACGGTATGATTGAGTTTTGTTTTACAATACCTAAAAGTGATAACCTCACTACATATTTTTTGTGAAATTGGAAAATTGGGACTAGTCTGCTATATCTATAAATTCTATACTGCTGTGCTTTTCCGTCTATTTTTTCAAACGATGATCAAACTTTAAAGCAAAGATAAACGATATTTATAAGTGATAAAAGCAGCATATTTGAGAACGTACTTCATTACAATCTATTCGTTTCATCAAAGCAGCTGATTTGCTTCATAGATATCTCAAATTTGTATGGATTTGTTCTTATCTTGAATCCTATATAGTTGAATTTTCGGTACTTTTCTAAGTATGCGCACCAAGATATCGCACAACCTGAACCCTAACCTGGTACACAACTTCAGTTCAGGATGTGCGCCGTCTTGGTGCGCATACTTCATGAGGTCCGAATTTTCTTTTCATCGAAGCTTCAAAACTTATAAATAAAACTTATAAAACTTATCATATAACTTCTAAAAAATACCATCAACTCTACTCACTCTATCCACATTTTCAAATTATATGATAATTCAAATTTCTATTGACAAAATCAATGTTTAATATCTATTGGGATTCGCACACAGAATTGATCTCAAAACTATATCATTGTATGGAAAAGTACAACAGCTGTAAATATACGTGAAAACTGTAAACACGCAGTGCTAAATTAATTTTGAGTTTTTTCTAAATCAGTAAAATAAAACAAATTACCGTATATTATATCGTGCGGACATAATGGTTCAAATATTAATCATAAAATGCGTAAGTCACATGGAATTTTCGAGTAAACTTCCTTTTTTAAATGACATGGCGATAAACTATAAGACTATACCAACCTAGTGTATAGGTCTAAGTGTAACATCTAAACCGAATTAAAATATATTAATAGTTTAAACTCAAAAAACATATTTAACTGCCAATTAGCCATGGCGTTCAGGTTTATACGATTAATGGGAAAATCCAATGAAATTATTGATACTCTCTGTTATTTTTACCCTATAATGAACATTACCAGACACTACTATGTTTGCTTGAAATTGTTTAACATAACAATAACTTGCGTCAACAAATTTAGAAAGTCCCTTGGCCAAATATTTTCATTTTTAAATTAAGATAAACTCCAATGTGTCACGTTATATATATATTTCCGAAGCATAAACATTTTGTACCTATACGTGCATTGGTGCCATATTAGAGAGATGGTATCACATCTCGAATTTTTGATATGATTTTTATTATCTAAATTGAAATTAAATCAAGTTGTGACTACGTCCATTGCCTAAGTTCTGAATTAATATATGACTCTGAAATCATTGAATATATATCACAAAATTAAATGTAAATTCTATCGAATAACCAAAACTGCGTGTTATGTTCAAATTGTATATGACATCACAAATAATGCTTTCGAGTCGTTTAAACAGACGTGTCCCCGTATGACTGTTTCTGAAAATCATCTCGATTATTGTATAAAAGAAGACCAACCAATTGATAATGATTGTCATCACTGGCATTATTAATCAGAAAAATAAGAATGGGAAATAGTGATGTCATAATGATTTCCGTGGCCACGTGACTCACCAAAGGTGACCGTTGTTAAATCGTCACTCACGTGTAAAATTTGGGTTCGTGAACGTTCTAGTCAGACAAACGGAACATGATTCATTAGTTTGCAAGAAGGTTATAAATAGTTAACTTGAAATTAATCGTTTTTTTTATCAACGGTGTACCTTTCTGCTCTCATCCCAATCATGCCCAAGAAAGAAAGAGTTGGTTAAAATAAAACCGCAATAACCTCAACCAAATGCACGGAAAAGTTGTTCTTTGTCGATCTTAGGACAAACTTTGGTATCTATAGTTCGAACTCATTAATTCATCATGAATATTTTTGGCATAGGGCAATCGTCGAATAAAATGCCGAAAACATTTACACATAATCTGATACGGAGTTGACCGGGTGAGGCAGTTTCTTCAACAAACGATGCATGAAAAGTCAGGTCGTAAAATATCGTAATAAATATCAGGGACCGTCTGACCTTAGTTAAACCGGTATTCCGTCTAAAATTTAGAATTCCAAATGTACAAGCCCGATCGGG